TGTCTGTATTTTTATTTTTATTATTTTTATTTGTGTTTATTGTAATATCGCATCATTATTACAATAAAAAGGACTGTGAAAGTTCAGAGAAATAGCACATACGTGATAAAAAGGCAGAAGAGGAGAATAGAGGGGAGAAACAATTTTGAAGTACTTAAATTAGCGAATTTATTTGCTAAATATATTTTTAAATCGCGTATAAAAGTTTACAACGCAATCGGGGGATACAGTCGATCGATAGGACTCAGAAGGCACGTATCGTAGGAGATGCGAAGAAGGGTAATCAGGATGGATATAGATTGCCACGACCCATTCGCTCACCCTCCCGTGACAGCAATTTTTCCGGAATATCGTCGGCCTAAGTCTCTAGAACTCGACCTATATCCTTGCTTTCATTCTACGATCGATTCGCGCAATTCCTTAGCGTTTCTTCACGTCGCGGCGTATGTGGAAATCGTGACGAGCTACGCGCAAACGGCAGTATAAATAAAAAAAAATATTCTTGAAAGAGCGCGAGCGTGCAATCTCCGCAGTTAAATAAAAATGCGAATGACAAAATATACATATAAATGAAATAAACAGAGTAGAGATATATTCTGCGCACCGAAAATTTTTCACGAAATTAGTGAAAAATTGACAATCAGACTTAGTAAATTCAGAATTTAGTAAATAAGGTTGATTAACGAATAATATAAATATGAAATAGAATCTTCTGAATTTACTTAAAAGTCCAGAGGACTACGATCTTTGATGATTTAAACTCTTGAGTCTAGTAAATACGAATGCACAGCAATCAAGTTAGCAAGTTGCATGAAAAATTTCGTTGTCTATGAATTTCTTGATAATTGACAATCGTAGCATAATTTAACAAATAAAATTGATAGATCAAAGATACAAATACGAAATGAAACTAAATGAGCTAAATGAAATTAAAAATCGAGAGGACGCAGATCTTTGATCAATAGTGAATACAAACGAGCAGCAATCAGATTGACAGATTGCACAAAGAATTTCGTTATTTTGTAAATTTTTGAAAATTAACAATCCTAACGTAATTGATTTAAATAAATAAAATTGATGAATAAAGAATATAAATATAAATGCATTAATTAAATGAGTTTAACTTAACGATCGAAAGAATGCAGATCTTTAACGATCAAGCGCAAATATGAACGCGCACTGCAATCAAATTGGCAGATTAAGAATCGAAGAGAACCGTTAAACGCGAGATGAGTTGTTCGAAGAATAGCGAGTAATCTCTCATGATACAAATGATTCCAACTATCTTCCGCATATAGCTACATAATCCTAATACTCTTGTAGTGGGATTCTCTCCTAAAGGTTTGTTCGAAACAAAAGGTTGTCGAGAATGAGCACTGTCGAGTCAACTTAAAGATACTCGACAGTGAAGTGAAGCTTATTGAAGACGTCACGAGATCTCGAAGCGTTGAACTTGATGTTAAAAATTTTCAGACCACAAGGTTTCATCCTGTGAGCCAAAATAGATCTTCGCATTTCTGTCAACTTTCAATTTTGACCTTAAATTGATTTCTTCGATATTCTATATCGAAGCGGACAGTTTGAAATTTCACTTTGCAGTCTGTTCCTCTAGGAATTCTCGAAATTGACTTTCCCACGTTTTCGCGAATGTCGCTAATTTAAATCGTAAACGATTCCTCAATTCTATTTTAAAATTCAACGCTTCATTCCCTGTTTATAAATCGTTCAATTTTGAATTCTGACTTAAAACAATGCGGTATATTCGAGCTGTTTTAATCTTCTTGCTCCTCTGTGTCGTCTTACACATCACTTGGGAAATAGAAAGACGAGAATATGTATAGAGAGAGAAACGCTTAATTTTACATGCGTGAATATTATCCGCTTAGTGTTTGCTTACTCCGAACGAACGTCAAACATGCTAACCGAGCAATGATATTCCCTCTCTTGCATCCACCCTGTGGATCAAAGGGTGTCCCTCGGCGGTGCTTCAACATGACGGCATGCAATGTGCGCCACGCATGATACACTGAGAAAAAAAGTCAAAACATTTGCCAGCAAATGTTTCATGTGACGTTTTATCGATATTTATTGGTTATAACAAAAATTTAGTTGAGTATACATTTTTGTGAATTATATCTGATTGTAAAACAATAAAATAGATAATTTTTATTTTTTTGGAATAGAATTTCATTTCTCCGTATTTATTTTAATGGAATAAACATTATATCTCACGAAATAAATTAAATATTTATTATATAATTACTTTATTATATAATTACTTTTATTATATAAATATTTTTTTCTTAATAAATGTGGAAATATGCAGAACAGTCATAAATACTTCGCAAGAACTGCGGCACTTTTAAGTCTATTTTGGACAATCTACAATTTATATTAGAAAAGAGAGAGAGAGAGAAATCAAGATACATAGAATTACATATTTGTAATTTTATGCATCATGTAACATGCAAAAATATAAAAAATTCGAAGAATATAAAAAATGTATACATATAGTACCATTCAAAGGTTTCAATAATTACTACTTTTTGCAAAAAAAAATATATTTATCTATTGGATGTTAGTTTTTTATACATGGATAAAAAAAAACATTGACGTACCATATTTCAATTTAGTTTCTGTTTAAATAAACAAAAAAAAAATTTTTAAATCAAAACAGTCACTAGTGAGCAAATATTAGTTAAAGTTAAAAATTGGAAGCAAATAATATATTCTATTCCACAACTCTCAGTTGTGTAAGAAAGAGTAGAAAAGAAACAATCACAATTTATAAAAAAAAGTAAAGTGGTAAAATAAATACTATGATTAATCAGCGTCAGTTCATTGTAAGATTTCAAAACTTATATTTTACTTTCTAATAATACATGGAATATGCTAATTTAAATGATAAATATTTAATGTAAAACGTGAAAACAATTTTTCTATCTCTTTCATCTATTTATTCTAAAAATTTTATCTTAAAATTTTTATAAACATAAATCGTCTAAAGTGGATTTTTATAAAAATATTATATCATCTCAACAAAACTTATATCTCTTATAAAAATAATCCGTAAAATAGAAATTTTCGGAATATATATCTTATGTGTAACAAAACTATATATTAATGATAGATTATTAGTAAAACTGTACTATAAAATAACTCGGCACCTTCCTTCCCTAATTAACGATGATTGTAAGAGTTTATAAGGGATTATGGGAGTTATAAAAGTGAATAAATCTTGTCAAAATCTTGAACGATGGAAGATTTAAAAACGCTGGTAAATGGAAAATCGTTTAGTAACGAAAGGCATGAGAATAAGGGAGAGAACAGCTGATCTTGAAAGCGGTCCATTTTCTGGGTATTTGCACACAGATTTAGGGATGTTTCATGTTTTACCCTACTTTCTTTAATCCGATTGAGAGTTGGGACCAGTGTTCAGATTGAACCGGTTTCTAAAGTCAGTCGTAAATATCAGATGTATTCGCACGATTACTCGATGGGACTCGGATTTGGAGAAAATTCTTAATTGGAATAATTCTAATTGCTCGTTTTTGCTCTCGTTCTTGCTCTTTCCGGTAAAAAGTATCTAATTACCATGCATCAAGATAGGGTTGAGACGTTCATCAAGATAGTGTTGAAACGCGAATCTAAACGACGACCAAGAAATGAAGTTCGATAAGTTATTCTGTCCTTTGAGCTAATTTAAACTTGTGTTTGGAGTGGAATTATTAATTCGAAGATCAAACTGTGAATTATATATTTTGAGAGTTAAAACTTCGAACTTATGGGATGATATAATATTTAATATTATTGTTAATCGGAAATTATAAATCTAATTCTTAAGGTGTGTCAAACCTTAAATTATATTCCCAACTATAAATTCCATCATAAAATTTTGAGATCCATTTTTTCAACAGATGTTTTATAGCACATTGCATTTATCGTATGCCTTTAAGTTTCAACTCGAAGCAACCTTAATATTAATTAAATTTTATAATTTTATCTCTCTGATGGAATAAATTAATTGAATTAAGACTAGTGTTAATTGGAAAGTACAGGTTTATTCTTTCTTAAAGTTTAATTTTTCGAGACATTTTAACAAGAGATATACAACACAGACACATACATATATATGTCTATGTTGTATATCTCTTAAATAAAATTTATGCTGCAAATGGAAGTATGTATTAACTGAAAAATATAGCGGTAAAAAACTATAAAGGTAACAATTGTATAAATGAATTGTAGAAGTTTTATATAAAAGTTCTATATAAAGTTTTATATAGAATTAATATACATAGTTGAATAAATTAATGCAGTTACAAAATATCTATATTCTAAAAATAATTTATTCAACTATGTACATTAATTCTATGTACAAAACTTGTATAGTTGCCACTTTTATAGTCGCTACTGCTATATCTTTTTCTCTAAGTATATTACAAATTTTGAAACGAAATTGATAAAAAAGTAGATAATAGAAGCAATGAAATATTTAATATGTCGTAATCTCTCTCATCGTAAGAATTAATGGCGCTATTTCTCGCTCGTATTTTCTACTTGATGAGATCGAACTTTCAGAGACGGTAGGCGCTAATAATAACTATACAGATGACAATTTTGTACAAGTTTTATATGTAAAATTAATGTACATAATTAAACTAATGTAATTGCAACATTTATATTCTATAAAATATTTAATTTAACTATGTATATTAATTCTACAATAAAACTTGAATAGTTGCTATCAGTAATATCTTTTTCTCTAAGTATGCATGTATTACAAAGTCGATAAGAAAAGTAATAAACTATTTAATACGTCGTGATCTCTCACGTCTTAAGAATTAACGGCGCTATCTTTTCGCTCGTATCTTCGGGTTAACGACATCAAGCTTTTAGAGGCAGTAAGTGCTAATGAAACCGTCAGGATAGAAGATATCGCAGACGATATTAAGGAGGTCCAAGGAGGGCAGCAGTAAGTGAGAAAAGTTGCGACTTACTTTGAGGGCCTCCTCATGGGTGACCGCGCGAAAAGGCGTGCCGTTTACCTCCAGGATGGTGTCTCCTGGCCTGAGTCCAGCACGTTCGGCCACCGAGCCTTCCTCCACCCTCGAGATGTAGACGCCCACCCCTGAAAACAGTTCGCACAGACTTTCCATCAGACTGGTGAGTCTCTCCACCGCCAATTCACAATCGGTGCCAGCTAAGACCTTCCGCCCATGACGCGACAAGTTATCTGAACGAATTTTACGAAGCAATCTCCGTCACCTCCACGACACGATTCAGTTAACAATAAATTTTGTCTTTAATGAAAAAGGCATAGGTGTCTCAGTGTTCGCTCAAATAATATTTTAGTGATGGAGATTCTTTAATATCAAGAAATTATTTTGTTATTTATTACAAATAGTAAAGAATTTTGTTTTGTTTTGTGGAATGTGATATTTTAGCAATTATGAAATTAATATTTATATTGATATTATTGAATTATTATTTAAAAATAATGTAAAATATAAAATATTTTAGAACAGGTATAGGTGATATTTTAGCAACTACTAACAAACTAACGCGTTGTAAAATATTTAACGTGAGCGTAATTTAATATATAGAGAGATGAAGGACCTGTTGGCTGGCATGTGACAAACAAGTTGAAATTTTGGCAATCTTCCCCAGTATACTTGTTGAACGGGATGTAATAAACGCCATGGGCAGAAATATCGTGGAAATACGAGAGGAAAATGAAAAAACGAAGTATGCGGATGCATTTCAAAGTAAAATATCGGTAAAATGGTGAACGTGTGTCTCCATGTAACATAACACAATGCACGTACGTATAAGTGTATTTGTGACAGAGAAAGAAAGGCATGCACAAATTTTTTCGAATAATCGAGAGGAAGTGCGATCGCATCACATGATGTGCTCGCGTATACAATTATGAGATATTGCACATTGTGGGCGTACGTGCGTATATGTATGCATTTGGCGTATATATGTACTCTGAAAAGTATTTTTTACCTCTCTGAAAAAACGATAATCGATAGCAGCCGGATGGAAACTTTAAACCAGGGACCACAGATTATTCATGAATTTTTGAACGGCATTCATGCACGGAGACAATGAATTTTATACGGTTAAATAAAAAAAAAAGAAAGAAAAGAACGTTTTTATAATGTGGAAAGCGAGATTTATCTGTTTGATTGATTTTGAGTTCAAGATGTTAATTCTTTGATACATATTTGTGAACAAATACGTCAATTGCGAGATTTATGCTTTCTTCATGAACTGAACAAAAATTGTATATGATAATATCTTCTTTTAGATATATTTATATAATAATCTTTTTTTTAATTTATAATATCTTTAAGAATCGATTATATTTTATTAGATAATTAATTATCATGAATAAAAAAATTATTTAGACATTTATAAAAATTAATTATACTTTAATAGGCAACGCTAAAAAAACGGTTAAAAAAATTCTATTTTTATAGATATTAAAATATCTATTAAGATATTTTTGTACTATTTTTTGCATTAATTTTAAATCAATCAAAATAATGAGAGCAGTGTTTTTCAGAAACATGCATTAAAAAATTCTTCTCTCTTTATTTTTTTTGCTTAAATATAAATAAATGATTCATAGGGAATATCTATTTAATTTAACATGATTTTTATCTATTATAAAAATTTTCAAGCAAAAATAAATTATTTTAGTTAAGAAAGAGATCCTATATAACTATTTGTTGTCAACAAAATGTAAAATTTTTAAAAAGAGATATGTTGAGAAATTGAAATCCATAGGATAAAATCGAATCTCATTTTCAGAATTAAAAAAAATATATAAGAATCAAGTTACCTATTTAAAAAAATCATTGTCGAGTATAACCAATATTATTAAAAGAAAGAAATTATTTAGACATAAACTATGATTAATATAAATGAATCACAAACTTGATTATAAATCTTAACATGAAAAAGTATAATTTATAAATATATAAGATACAAATTTTTATGTACTAAAATTAAAAATAAGGTTGAATATTTTTATCTTTCGTGCAAACGTTTAAATTACTTTTCGGAGGCGTGTTTGTTGCTAAATTATATACTGAAACATCCAGTAGTGCCAAGGTGTATGTTTGTGTGTGTGTGTGTGTGTGTGTGTGTTTATAATTTGTGGCTAAGCAAGCGGAAACGTGATGATACATCAAATAACACGCTCAAACTGCATTTATGCAGCTCATGCGGCGTCATTTATTGCGTGTTTGTGCTGGGACCAAGTTATCGTTGGATCCGAGGTTGACATAATTTTTTAGATGACACGAAAGAACAAATTTAACGTCAAGATAAAAATAACTGGCTCATAATTATTTTTCTTGTTATCGAGGTGGCATCCGTGGAGAATCAGTTAAGAATTTTTCGATTATTTGCTATTAAACTCCAATATAAAACTCCAATGCTAACCGTTAATATACAAAAGTGTTTCATGTAATTGAACTCTCCGAGATTTGTCCGTGTATTCTTTTCTTACAATTATATTTTTCAATCAAATATTTAATTAAGTTTTAATTTTAACCTGAAGATAATTTAGTCAATACAAATTTAATTGAATAAAAGATAATAATGTTCAAACAGCAAACATCTCAATAATCGCAACGTGGAATTGATTGAGACTGAGTTGAAGAAGAGCTTACCTCAAGTTACCGAAAAAACGGGGAAGTTCAATTATCCATTTTTGCAATCATAATTAATCACGATCCAATTAACCGTTCACATTAATCCTTCATTTTTAGTCGAGAGTTTGTTTTCTTCGGAGCTTCGGAAATCACGGTAATTAAATCTCGATTTAAATTTTTCCTACGGAATAGAGCGTTGGGAAAGCACCTTGTGTATACAGGCGGTCACTTTTACGAGGAAATTGTATGATGGTCCGAATTGCAAAAAAATATCTGCAGTTAATTTAGCGACATTTAGTGAGATTTAAACGCTTTTCCATTGTTCTCCGAAACGTTCCGCTTTACGCGAAGCTTTATGACTGGTGTTGTAGTGTACGACTGAACTTTCCTCTACGCACTCATACGCTCTCTACTCGCATATGCAATTGTACACCCATGCAACGAGCTGTCGGCGTGCCAAGTCTAAAGAGGAAGTAGCTTTCTGACAGATACTCGTGGTGCGATGGCGTTATAAACCCTCCTTTCTCTCGTTGAGTTACCTGACTGCACTTCTGGTACAGCGAAACAGAAAATAAGAATGACACAACGCAAGTTGGCTTATTCTCGATCTCAACCGGTCGCGAACGATGGTGAAATCCCCAGGAAGCTTACGTCGAGTTCAACAAGCTTCCTTTTCAAGACGAGATAATGCAATATAACGGTAAGAAAATTTTATTAAAGACTCGAAATGGAGCCTGCACTATCTTGTGTACCACATTTCACGATAATAGTCACACAAGCCGACGTATCAATAAATTAATATAAATAAATTAATATATAAATTAATAAAAATAAAAACACATTGAGTGAAAAGTTTTTGATATTTGTGACTACAATTACCTACCTTATCGTTAGTAATAATAACTACATGTATAGTTTTATCGACAAATATATATTTGGTATCGAAAATGATTACAAATTATTATTAGTTATTGTTATAAAAATGGTTGCAATAACTTAACTATAATTTATAATTATTTTTTTAAACAGTTATATGAAATGTGGTAAATATTAACTATAATATTGTAATCATTTTCCACTATACATGCAGTTATATATGTAGGCAATTTCAAGTATACATAAAGGAGAACGTGGTATTATGGCCAGTAGATATAATGGCCCCTCTTATTTCCGCTATTAGGTGATGAATTCTAGTGATTACCTATAGAATATTATTTGTTCAGTAGCTCGCCGTTACATCATGATACTAACATGGCAATATACTTTAGCTGATTCTTATTATAATACACTTTCAAGCGTTTCGAAACATTTTTGAGATACATTTTAGTATTGAATTACACATATTACCTCATTCTTCTTAAATTTGAGCGTATTATTACACGAATATTTGAGTGTCTTGTTTATTATTTAACATTTTATTTGGTCGTACAAGTTTTAAATTTAAATATTAATTACTCTCCAAATCTGAATCAGTGGATAACCACTGATTCAGTGCCAAGTATACCATGGTAATCAATGAATGAAATGTGAGATCCCTAACTTCTAATCTTTATTATGTGATCTAATCCTGATTTAGTGCATAAATTCAATGAATATGGTATTGAAAGATTGAAATTAACATGCAAATATCAATATTTTAATAATGCTTAAATATCCTTCCTTTTTTAGTTGAATTTTACTGATTATCCAGTGCCAAGTATGCCACTAATTAGTGACTATCCACTGATTCAGATTTAGAGAGTATAAGTTTTTATGTAAAATATTTTGATTATAAATTTTTGTATAAAACATGAATGGTATACCACAATACTATCTTCTCCTCCACAATTTTATCTATATATTTTTTATTGTCTCAAAAATGACTATAAATTTTAGTCAATTATAATTAACTTACAATAATTGAAACCATTTTTATGATAATAATTATAATTTAGTCATTTTTGGTGTCAAATTTGATGGAACTATACATTTATTATTAACAATAATATGCAATATATTGTAGTAATAACTATCATTATAACATGTAATTATAGTCATAAATACCGAAAACTTTTCTCCGAGAGAGAGAGAGAGAGAGAGAGAGAGAGAGAGAGAGAGAGAGAAAGAGAATGTATATATTATAACACAATTACGTTCTAAATAAATTCTATCAGCTTTTACGACACGAAGAAGCTCTCAAAATTCCCACACATTTTGCGCGAGAAATATTTATTAGATATTTCGGAGCAGAATTGAAAAATATCGATGATGGAAACCTTTTGCACTCGAAGTATAAAAGGCCGATAGTGCGATACGAAAGGGAAATTGATGACACGAGCGAGCGCATTTTTCTCTGACTTTCCTGGGAGTTTCAGCATCGTATGAAAACGGATTTTCAGTGGCGCGATTCGCGCGACAAGGCGAGACGGGGGTCTCTCGAGAGAGCCGCCTTTTCAGATTTGGGGTTTCACGCTCGAATTCAGCGATGATAAAGCTCGTCAAGCGATGGTATTAGCGCGTGTGTGCAGCATCGCGTGCGTGATTAAGCGTGAGATTTAACGCCCGCAGTCTCGCCGGGAATATCATTATAACGGACGGAGTCGCCGAATCATTGCGTTTGATTTTGCTTTCTTCTGAACAAAGGTTCTGTACTTTTTCAATTACTAAACTCCTTTAGATCTCACAATGTGTGATTAATTGTATTCTAAATCTTATTACACATAACTTTACATAATAATTTTGAAAGAAAATTATGTGGAATGAATATAAATTATTCCTATGAGATAATCGAGAGGATTCCTTTTCAGCTTCGCATCAAAGGGAACTTATTATATGCGAGCCAATTTAATATTCTTAAATCAGTATCTATAAATATTACATTCTCGCAAGATAGTCTTGATCTATTTTTGAGACTGCGAGGATTAAGAGGCTGGAGACCATGAAACCGGATCTTTTGTCGCTTTTGTCACTTTAAGGCGGCGCTCTCGTTGCATTTTTCGCCTCGTCACGCGGATCCGAGATTTTTCTCGTGTATCAGTCGCGGAATCTTTCTGGAAAACGCATAAACCGAGAACGTGTCTGAAAAATATTCAAATCTTGGAAAAAATGTCAGGAAAAAAGAACGTTGAACAGAAAAAGTATTATAATTATTTTTATCAAAAATTATGATTTTTAAGGACAATTAATTCTTTTCTGTATTCCGATTTTAATCATAAAAGTTTGAAACATTTTGCTGTTTGTGAAAATTAATTGTTATTTATTGCAACATAAAGAATCAAATCTAATACAATACTAGAAATAAATTATGCCAGATTAAAAAAGAAATTAATTTTGTATAAAGAAATCGACAATTAATTGACAAACTAAAGTAAGGTTTATCAATTAACGCTTTGACTTTTTCGACAAACGAATTCTCTAGAAAGATTGAGCGAAACGACGAACCCCGTTCGTTGGATTTCCGGCGCAATCGCGTTTCGATGGATCGATAGTTCGTTATCGCATCGACCATCGAACGGCAAACCGACCGAAGTTTCACCCTCATGAAAGGGGAGAGGAGAAAAAAAAAGGGGTGAGAGGAAGGGGAAGAGTCTGTGCAAAACGCGCTCCTTCTCTACCGAATTCGCGTGCAAACAATCGTCACTGCAGCGGAAAACGATGCTTAACGATCGTGAAAATGTTTCCCCCCGCTTTCGAGTATCGTCCTCGCGATGAGAGAATTTCATTTTCCACTGTGGTCGTCAAAATCGATTAGAATCCGCACATATTATGAATACAAACGAGCACATTCGAGGTAATTTAACTGCAGAGCAAAGAGAAAGAGAAAAAAAAGAGAGAGCAATTATTTTAGGATCAAAACGTGTTCATTTTTTTAATTTAATCAATTTAATTAATTTATAAATTTAACCATCTTGCATAAAAATTTCAAATATTCTGTGATTTGGGGAAAACATACAGGGTGATTCTTAAGTATTCTAAAAGATTTCGAAGGGAGATTTCTCGTATAATAATTCAAGACAAACTTCATATAACCACATAAAGAAAAAAAATATCGTTTCTTTCAAAAGTTTCGAAAACCATTCGTGCCATTTTGATGTTCTTGAAACACACACAAAGTTTCATCAAAGTAATCCGAGTAGTTTCCAAAATTTTGGAAAAAAGCAAAAATTTTTCTTTACTATTCTATGAATTTTTTATCTTCAATTAATGTAAGAAATGACCCTTTAAAATCCTTTAAAATACTTAAAGACCTTGTATAATTAATTTATTACTATATTGATTAGAAAATCAACTAATTATTTGTTTCTATAATTTAATTAGATGAATTAACATTAAATAATTATAATGATACAATTTGTGCTTGTAAAAAGCAACAATACATTTGGCAATTTTTCAATGGAAATATCATATTAGGTTTCCGTCATATCGTTGGATATTTCATTAGTAAGGAACATTTTTAATATCAATATGTTTCGTCGCGAGGACAAAACGGATGCGCAAGGACGATTTGCCGATTTATGCTGAAGCACGTATAAGCGTAAGGTGTCGAGACACGATATGGGTGCCAGCCGAGGTGACTTAGGCACGCAACACGAGAAAAAGACAGTAATCAAAGAAACGAGTTGGCAAACGATAAGTGACAAGCGAGTCATCTGGCAAACCGATCGCTTCATAGAAACATGAAATCGCAAATATAGAGGATCTAAAGATTAAATTACATGTTAGACTAATGATAGGTCGATGAACTATGTTGACTGTTGATTGAGTCTATTCTTAAATAATTGTACTGACGTGAATGGCACTCTTTTAATAGTACAGCTTATTGAAAACTTCTGCTTGTCTAGAATCTTTGTCTAAGGATTTCTATTTATCAAGATGATAGGCGTTTATACCGTCAGAAATGGTGCCATAAAGTTGAAAAGTGATTTATGACAGTAAGATGGTATCGAGCTAGTAATCAAAGTTTATTCAAGAATTTCTAAATCTAAAGTAGATCTGTGTTATCGCGAATGTGTTATCATAATTTACCTTTTTAATCCTTTAAGATCTAACTTTTTGGAGATGTGGGACATATAGATATGGTTTAGTTATTTTTAAAGATTTGGGAAATCGCTGAATATAAAAGTGAAGTCAAAATATAAAAATCCAAGAAATGAAATATTATCAAATTGTAATGAAATTGTTTATTATTTAGTTTTGAAAGAAAAACTGTTCAAAAGATAAATACGATCATATAATAAAAATAAGAAAAATTATAGTAATTAGTTCTATAATATATTGCTAAATAATAGAATTGTTTTATTAATAAAATTGAATATTTATTGATAGTATAAGACATGTTTAAAAGCTATGAAAGATTTAAAAGATTTTCTCGTATCTATAAATAAGTAAATGGCATCAATCAATATCATTTCTCCTTCAATAAATATTATATCGTATTTCTTATCGTTGAAATACGAAAAGCTTGAAAATTACTTTATATACATTATGTATAGTATAAATATCATTAAAAAAATTGATACTGATGGATCAGTTACTTATGTTTGAGTAATTATCATGTGAAAATAATACTGATACCATATTAATCCGAGAATTTTTCTATCTTACAACGTAAATAATTTTTCTATATTTTACGATTGTATTTATCGCAATATTTTTAAGTTAAAGTTTAAACATTGCCTTTAGTTGGACTGAATAGCTCAATATTTACCAAATGTATTTTCTTAAGATGACTTTAAAGGATTAAAGACAAAAGGCAACATAAATAAAAACACCGAATGCGACGTCACAAGTTTCAAAGTTAAAACTCCAATATGATAACAAGTTGGCACCGCCAACAAGTTGCGGTTTACCCGCACGATGCCAGGAAGATGTATCTTCGAGTTTATCGTAGCTTCTATTCTCGGGTGATTTCTCGGTAGAACGAATTTTTACCGAGCCGGAGAAAAATCCCCAGTGGCGGCCGAGTTCTTTACAGTTAGACGACCCGGAGAAGGTACTCGCGGCGCAACACGGCGGCCAGACGACTCGCGGAACATTCAGCGGCGTGCGGACGCCGGAACGTGAGGCTTGAAAAAATTTGACTTTGAGGAGTGCGGAAAACTAAGAGAACTTTGAAGTAGAGTTAAAACCGCTCCTGGGAAAAAAGTACCTCGTTCTCGAGGCACGAAGTACGGCGACGGGGGTAGCCTGAAGGTACTGCGGATCTCACCTGCGTCCTTGCCACCCTTCACGCAGATGCCAAAGCCATGGTGAGAGTCCGGCGGATCTCTCGTCATGGTGATTGTCCTTACGGTGAGCTCCTGAAGACTGAGCGGCTGCGAGATCGGCGACGTGGGCGGATTCCCGGTGTTCCCAGCCTGCTGCTGCTGCTGCTGTTGCTGCTGCTGCTGCTGCGACTGCTGCGATTGCTGCTGTTGCTGCTGTTGCTGCGAGCCGCCGGATGCGGTCGGCGTGCCGCGGACCGTCGTCACGCTCGCTGGACTCGATGCCGGCGATTTGCGATCGCCCTGCCGTCGTTCCGAGACACTGTTGCCGAACAGCCTGGAGAAGAGGAAACGTTGAATTGTTACTTGATCGTGTTTACGTCACTTACTTCAAAAGGGACAACTCAAAAAATTAAATAATAAGAATCGTATATGTCATATTGGACCGTAAAGTTTGAAACTTATCAAATAGATAATAGGAATCCTATAACGATCTAAGCTGGGATTTTTTTAATGCTTAATAATTCAAAAAATTAAGCTTTCTTGAAAAGGGGAATAGAAACCAAACAAATATTAAACGGAATATAAGCACTTAAATATATATATTATGATAGTGTTTCTAAAAAATAAAGATGTTACTTAATAGACGCATTTTATTGGATTTTTAACGGAATTACTTAAAGGTTCGTAAGAAATAATTGTTAAAAAAGAACGAAAATATGTTACACAATATCCATACAAAACTATGTTTTACAACAATTAACATTTTTTCGCCACTGGAGTGTAGAAACTCCTCAAATGAATATTCTCAGATTAATCATATTTTATGTACATATATTATTTTAATAATTATATTATAATATATTAATTATGTTACTTATATATTAATAATTGCTCTCGTATCAAAATTTTGCATTTGTCAAATTGTTGATACACAAATTTTAAATTAATCTAATAGAGAACCAAAAGTCAATATCAGGGTGTTTTCAGAGAAAAACTCGCAAGATGAAAAGTATATACGAAATAAGCCGCAATTACTAAAAATGAATTACGCCTCAATGGAAAAAGTGTGTCATGTCGGATACACACACAAATCTCCGAGAGCGATTTGCGTAATTCGATTTTGATACATATCGGTGATGCAATCATGGAAGAGCATCTTCCATCATTGGCCTTGCTGGAAGGGAAGTCATACCTGAGCACCTGTTCCGGGGAGATGGCACCGGTGCCGCTGGTGGTTCCGTGACCCCGGTGCGATCTGTAGGGGGTCGCATGCGAGGAGTGATGATGGGGTGCGCTGGGCGGCCTTTCGACAATGGTGTAGCTGGTGCCAGGCGGACTGTAGTAGCCGCGGTGCTGGCCGCCATGATGCCGACTCGTGGTGACGGGCTCGAGATCCTCGGCTTCGTAGCAGCCACCGGTGCCGCTACGCAGGTAGTGAGAACCGCCACCGGCACCACGCAGGAAGTGCGTGGTCCCGGTGGTACCGCCGCCCCACTGCAGCTCCTGCAGCTCGGAACCGTAGTCCTCCGTGCTGCTGGCCATGCCTCGGCTGGCGATCGGCTCCGCCTTGGTCACACCTGCCGGACAATAAACGAGCACGCAATTGCGGTCAACGCAGAATCGATCACCATTATGGAAGGACACGCGGACAGGTCGGCGGATAGCTTGAGTTGCAGGCGAACCGCAACGCGTTGCATTTCAATAATGGGGACATTTTAATTTGGAAAATTTTAATTAGGAGAGAGAGAGGGGGGGGGGAGGGAAAGGAGAAAGAAAGGACTGTAAACTATATTGTACTTGATCTAATTAAATTACTTGAACTGAGAAAATTTATATTTTTTTAATTTAATGGTTTTGCTTGAAGCAGAACATAACTTTATTTGAAAGTTTTGTGTAATATTTAGCATTAAACTTTAAGAATTTTCGTTTTTTTCCTTTGTATATTTTTTTACATTTTAATCAATTTGATATACTTTTGGAATTAAAATTCTAAAATTTTTCTTTTTTTCTCTTCTTTGTGTATATCTTTATACTTCAGTAATTAATAATAACATGAAAATATTATACAATAGTAAAATAAAAACTTTTTATGTGACCAGTTAATAAACAGCACAGGCAGGCTTAATCTTTTGAGAATTAGAGTTTTCTAACAAAGTAATTTATAGAATATCTTTTTTTTTAAACGTTTTTGATGGTTGAATTCGATTCTAGCAGCACATTTTAAAATTCAAATTTCAAAAAATAATCTGATTATTTTGAAACTAGATTTTAGAGGTTCTTATCGCTGAGTTTGAATGTAGCCCGAAAATGTCGAATTTTAAAAAAGTAGTAACCATGAAATGTTACAGGGCTCATATTCAGAATTTGAAAATCAATTTGGAAATCAGTTTTACTATTATCTGTTTGTGTAACGCTGATGAATTTTAAATAAAACAAAACTTGAAAAACTTTCTTTTTTGCTTCACAATTAAAAATTTACAATTAAAAAATCGAATTGTATATGTGTATGTGATCAGATTATTTTTAAAAATTTCATCCGCCATATTGAATCCAGTATTTCGAATTTTTTATTTTTGATCTCACAGATTTGAATGAAATTAAAAACTATCCCATAGGTCAAGTTTCATAAAAATGCATAAATAAAAATGCAATCGAGCAGTTTACAAAATAAATGGGATCACCGATCCGCAAAAGGTTAATAATAAAAGAAGTTCCAGAGAAAATTTACATGGAAATTAGTGGGACTTTCGGATATAAAAAATGTAAAACAGGCAGCTTGTTCAAGAATATTTAGCAATTTTTCAATGTTACTCCAGGAGAAAAACCTGTACACGCTTTTACATTAATATATTATGAAGTTAAGTAACAGCAATCCTTGACTCGACATCCAAAGCGGCTTAAACATAAAAGCCACGGCCTGAATTTCAGGGATGTCAGCCAGATCGATCGCGATTCTCGTAAATAAGTCAGGTGACATCACGAGTTCCCGAGAGACATTTTCATGTTTACAAAGAAACTGCCTCGACATTCAAATGCCACATTAACACAATTGAAAATTTTATTAGGGAGGCCTTTCTCAGAAAGGCGTCCCCATCGGAAATGGAAACGCAAGAATTTCTACCGCGACAATCGCGTGACACGCGCAAGACTCCGATACGCGTCCTTTCTTTGCAAAACTTTTTAAATATTTTTAACTTTTAATATTATAATTACAATGATATTTATTCTATGATTATTATTGTTACAACGTTAGCAAAAAAAATTATATTTATAGTTCTATAAAAAAAATATATACATTAGTTGACACCGAAAAAAATTATTATAAATATAGTTATTACTACAAAGACTGTTGCAGTTACTATAATTTAACTATAATTTATAATCTTTTCTGGATCCATCAACCAAGTCATAATTTCAAAGCGCACTATCACTTTACAACTCCATTTCTTCCAACTTACTTTGCGGAGTCGATCGGTTTGTCTCTCTTCTGTGCTGGAACTATGGAACTAATGATGCAGACTGTTCCGCAAAAAATCCACCTGTATGATCTGTTTCATAGTTCTCGCAACAATCAACTTAAAATAACGATGCAGTGCTTCCACAAATTTATACGTATAATCAGAGTCTCCTATTCTTATCTTCGTTTCTTAGTTTCTTCTAGTTTTAATTTTGTTATTATTTTCATACAGCACAGAAGTTTGCAGTAACATTGCTGCAATGTTTGTAACATTAATTGCAATATTATTGAAACATTGAAATGCTGGAATGATCTGTATTGTGTTATTTTAACATTTTATCTTTTACAATTTTCATGTTTCTGTTATTCTTGTCTTTCTATTTTTCTTTAAATTACGGTCACGTTTTGCAGCAATCATCAGTTAAAAATAACAAATGCAGTATTTTCGATCTTGTATATAAAATCAAAACCTACCTTTCCTATTTTCTTATCTTTGATTTTTCCTAATCTTAATTTTTTATAATTTAATTTTATTACATTTCATCTCTTACGTATATTATTTTTTTTTAATTGTTACTATTGACAATGCGTTCATCACAGGATAAAAAATTCGAGGTACTGAAAACCTGGTATTGGTTACAACATTGCAATTTGAGAAACAAAATTGCGTTAATTATTTTTTTAATTTATATATAGTTTATTGTGAATTCTGATAATACATATTTGTAACATGTTTATATAAGCGAAAAAACGCAAAGCTTTGATTTAATTTAAAAGAAATGACAATTTCGTTAATTATACGAAAAAAATGTGAATTTTTATTGTGAATTCTGATCAAGATTGTTATATATTTGAGATATCGGTACAATTTAATATTATTTCTTATCAAAAAGTAAATTGAGTTTTTCTTTTAATCTCACAAATTTGCAAATGAAGCATGCAATTGATATGAACGCAACATATATTTAGCATGTCGATGTATTCGTAGACTTATTTCGATATGTTACGTAATTTATCGTTTGTTCATCAGATTAATGCGTTATCCGTTTAGATATGATACGCGAATTTGCATTTAAAGCGATATTCGAGTAAAATAGGCAGCAATAAATTCCTGCGCGATAAAAACAATCGTGAAATTCGCAGATCACAAGGACAGAGTTTTTGTCTTCAGTCGGTCTTAGATTTGAATGACGACTTTTACGAATGATTGATTGATTCATGCGATTTATATGTGTACTGTATGCACGATCTTATAACGAGTTTCTAAATGATTTGCAAAAGGTAATTCAATAATATCAAGCAATTATTTAGGTTAGAGTGTTAAATAAACACTGTTAAACTAACACTTTATGTCATATGTGGCACATTAAAATAATGAAATGTTTTGTTCACATCCTTTCCCTTTTTTTCTATAAAGTAACATTTGCTGATGTCTACAGATAGTGTCGGATAAAACGGAAGACAGCATTTTGCAAGAAGTATCAGAATACATCGAACGTATTGTAAAATCAAACAATCAACATAGAATATAAGATGATGAAGGAAATATCGAAGTAGCACAGAAAATAAGGCAGAATTGCAAAAGCAAATCGAGATTGGAGAAATTACTCCATTTGAAGCAGCACATTTAAATAAGCACATTTAAATAATCAGCTTTAGAGCAAAAAGAAGGGTATAATATAAAATATTTATTTTACTTGCAATTTAAGTTAAATTTTGAATGTAACAATTGACAAACCTCAGTGTTTAAATAATTCAAATTTTCGCAAATTAAATCTATTAAATTTAATAATTATTTTACATTATTTTTGGAGTGTCAATAAAAGTTTTTCAATTGTCTAATCTTGAGAAAGTATTTCAAACAACAAGCTGTTCTTGCTGAACAAAAGAGAAAATTAAAGACTGCATCTAAGATAAAGATATAGTATCAATAAAAAAAATAAAATTACTTGATGCTGATATAAATACATAATAAAATTAATTGGAAGTTATTTTTATAGACAGAAAGAGAGAGAGAGAGAGAGAGAGAGAGAGAGAGAGAGAGAGAGAGAGAGAGAGAGAGAGTCATTTTCAGTATTAATTATATATTCATTTTTAATAAAGTTATAATTATAATTATTACAAGTATATAAATATTACTAAAACAATTCTAATAGAAATAATCGTAATTATGGTACCATTCAATTATCACAAATACTAAAAATATTTTTCCTGGTGTACGTATAAAATTTTCTAGGAATATTTTTTACTGTACAGACATGGCGACTTGATCAAATCACGGCAACCGTTCTAATTCGAACTCATTAAAGTTGTAATAATTAATTAATTACCGTAATGATGGAATAACAGAACCGCGAAATCGCGACAATCAAACCTATGTACGTCGCTAGGCAATTAATCACGTGTCTGTTTGTGGGTATTGTATGTACGCGCATAGGTATGCGGAATTTACAGATTAATATCCAAACGTCGCCGAAGGTGCCTCCGAATAATTTAGATACCTTTTTTCAGACGTGTCTTGGCCGTTTACTGCAGCGTCCTCCATGAACGCATCCACGAATATTCGCGATTTATTTTTACACCGCGATCGATTGCAGTTTTTTCCATTGTTATCATCGGGCTGTCGTGACGCGAACCGATTACGTTATCGATTCCCGCAGGACGGGAATAACGGGACAATTAAATCCGTCGCGAAGAGAAACTTCCTTGTCGTGACTGTCTAGTGATTTTAGATAGGATCTTTAACGTGAGACCCGCCGTCGCGCCGTGGCCACAGTAATGACATCATTTTCTGGGACAAACCCGCTGTAACTCCCTAATGGCCTCATGCAGGAAGTCTTCTGTTATCGTCGGAAGAAAGTTCGTCTTGAAGATAATCGCTGATATGTCGACAGCTATATACGAGAATGTTCAACCGAGCTGTTTTTTTCATGCGAATTCTTCGATCGATTTAGGAAAGATATTTAGCAGATAAATATGAAAAGTTGATGATAAATGTTGGATAGACAAACTGTATAATCCTGAATAGTGAAAAGATATAGTTAAATTTTTTTAAAGAAGCTAAATATATTTTTGTAATTTTAAGCTTAAACTAAGCAGTTACAAACATATCTTTTTAAA